TAAGTTAAAAGCAAACCATACAATGAAGGTAGATATAAATAAAACCAACATAGAACTATATACTTACATGGACCCACATTTGCAAAGTGGAAGGATCAATTTTGTACAACTGATTGAAGTTGCAATACACAATAGCGTCATCAGGCAGTCCATACTGCTGGCGAGTGGTGATCACAATGCTCTGGGGCACTTCCTCACCAGTTGCTGCCCGGTTGTTGGCTTGAGGTGTTGCCAAACCATTCTGGAGGACGACTCCATTTACTGAAGTCTGATGTTGACCGGAGGCAATCATGGTCTGCCAAAAACAAAAAAATTACATTTAGAAATTACTTTTACTACAACAAGAGAAAATTTGAGAACAGAGTGAACAGGACATTGACATACCTCAATAGGAGTTGTAGTGGGCAACTCTGCCACCTTGAATGAGATCTCTCGTACTTTACCCTGCTCGGGGCGGACCAACTCACGAATTTCATTGACGTTTGTGTTTTCCAAGATTGGAGATAGATCTGTAGCGTTGATAACAGCTACATTATCGGCCACGTCTTTCTTTGGTCCCAGCTGTAAGTTTGACAAAACAAAACAAAAATAAGAACACGAAAAACAAATTCAAACCAAAGCTGAGGTAAATAGGCAATTCAAACCTTTTCAGAAAGAAGCATCCTCTCTTTGAGGTGAGGGAACATTTGCTTGTGGTCCCCAACAAAGTAAGTGTGGGGCATGAATGCCAGTTTTTCTGAGTACTGACTAGCAAGTTCCACTGGGCATGTCACTTCATCAGTGATGAGATAGTCCATGAATGAAGCACCTGATGTGCCTGGGTACCCTAGCCACATAACCTGGACGGGAGCAGGCCTCAAAGCAAAGATTTCATTCCTTGCACCTTTAGTGTACCCATTCATGTTGACCAGAATATGAATTCCATCAGCATGAATACGATCAGCTGCTTTTCCATTGCATGGAATTTGTGAGAGGTCAATGAAGTGCTCAGCTTCCCGAGCAATCTTAGAACGGAATGTTGTGCCATCATCTGGGCTAATGGCGTAGCAGAAGACTTCCACATGAGCTCTGTCGTGCATGCCAGGGATGGACTGCATCAGATGGGATGTCGGGTGGTTGCCGAAATCAGATGACACGTAGCCAACGCGAAGGCGTCCGTTCAGCTCCTTGGGGTACTTGTACGGAGGCTTGTGCAGGACGTGAATCTGTAAAACAAAGAGAGAAAACGCCAGTGAAATGCTACGTCTGAGGGAAAAATAGGACTAACAATCATCAGAATAACCACTCACCTTCTCAAGACACAGGTTGGCATGACGAGCCGCGATAGCTTTGCGGAAGTCATGGCTGAGAGGGTACAGCATGGAGTGGTGCGGGTGCACAGACGGCAGGCGGTTCTTCTCAAGCTGCTCGGCCACGATGCTAACCAGCTTCTTCATACGAGCCTCGTAGTCGGTCCAGTCGCAGACAATTTGCAGGCAGTGCGCCAGGTTGCAGTAAGCATCAGGGAAGTCAGGCTTCAGTTTCAGAGCAGTGCGGTAGGACTGGATAGCCTCCGGGATGTTTCCAGAGTCCTGCAGAAAGTGATTTCAATGAAACATTAGAAAATGTCGAAACATAAGTCACATTCATGGAACAGAATTTAGCTCTGCGGAGAAGTTGTCAGTTGAAATGATAAAAGAAAATTACCTTGTGAATCGAGGCAAGGTTGCTGTGCGCGTCCGCGAAGGCGGGGTTGATCTGGATGGCGCGCGTGTAGCACTGCAGGGCGCCCTGGATGTCCTGCATCTCCTTGAGCGTGTTGCCCATGTTGCTGTAGGCGTCCGCGAACGTCGGCTGGATGCGGATGGCCTCCTTGTAGTGCATGAGGGCCTCGTTCAGCTTGCCCTGCTGCTGCAGCACCGACGCCAGGTTGGAGTGGGCGGCCGCGAACTCGGGGAACACCTCGAGCGCCTTGAGGTAGAGGCGCGTCGCCTCCTCGATGTAGCCCTGCTCGCGCTTGATGTTGGCCAGGTTGTTGAGCGAGTCGGCGTGCGTCGGGCTGAGGCGCAGCGCCGTGTTGTAGCATTCCTCCGCCTCGCCCACGCGACCCTTCTCCTTGAGGGCGTTGGCCAGGTTGCAGTACGCGTCGGGGAAGTTGGGCTGCAGCTCGATGGCCCGCCGGTACGTGTCGATGGCCAGGTCGATAAGCCTGAGGACGACCAAACGACATTCGTTCAAATTCACAGGCCCCCGTGCACAGCTCGAAAAATTTTCGCTCCCCGTCAGGTGGAGGCCCCCCAGATAAGCGCTCTCTGTGAGAGCGCCGGGAGGTAGGCCACTGGCTCCGGACTCGTGGCGCGCAGCGGCCTACCTCCCCGGCGCTCCACCCGAGAGCGACAGCGTGGAGCGTAGAGCCTCCCTCCACTGGCGGGGAGCGCCGGGGGCTATGCCACTCGCTCTGGACTCGTGGCGCGCGGCGGCGTACCTCCCCAGCGCTTCCCCCGAGAGCCACCCTCCACTTGGCGGGGAGCGCCGGGAGGTAGGCCACTCGCTCCAGACTGGTGGCGCGCGGTGGCCTACCTCCCCGGCGCTCCCACCGAGAGCAATAAGCCTCCCTCCACTGGCGGGGAGCGCTACAGCGTGGAGCGCCGGGAGGTAGGCCACTCGCTCAGACTGGTGGCGCGCGGTGGCCTACCTCCCCGGCGCTCTGGGACGAGCCAGGCCAATCACCATACATTCTCCTTTACCCAACATTCTCCTTTACCCAGAGGGCCCATTACCAGCGCCCCCCACCCCCTCCCCTCCAGTCCACTTGGAATTCACATTTTAATCACCATAAAAAGGCGATCCGAAAGGGTTCAGGCGGCGGCCTGCTTCCAAGAAGACTCGGCGACCGTCGCCGCCGCCACGTGCGCACGGTCGACGGTGACAACGCACACGGAATAATTAAAGTAGTGTAGTAGTAGTAGTACTCACCCTTGCTCGTAGTAGACGCAGGCCAGGTTCCCGTGGACGACGGCATTGTTGGGGCTGAGGTTGAGAGCCCGCAGATACGCCGCTACCGCCCTGAAACACAACACCACGCCGCGGTTACACAACATGGAACGCCACAAACATGGCTATGACGGCGCCACGCCACCACCGCCTCCTCAGTCAGTGGGTCGCGGTCGCGGCGGCGGCTTCCCTACTGCCCCCCTACAGGCTGGCGCCAGCGCGGCCGCCCCCAGTCCGTCCAGCCCCGTCCAGGAGGACCTTGAGGGCGGCCGGCCGCCAGGTACGTACGTCGCGCGCACCCCGCGCCCCCTCCACATCCATCAGCTGTGGCGCGGGGCAGGGCGGGGCGCGGCGGGGCGCGGCGGGGGGCACGTTGTGGTTGCGCCCCACCCCACCCCGCCCCGCCCCGCCCCGCTTTGATTCGTGCCGATGGCAATGCGGACGGGCCGTGCCGTGTGGTCGATGGCGTGTGCCGTCGTGCGCCGAGTGGAAAGGAACTCGGCGTGACCTCCTCGCCCCGAGACGTGACTACTCTACCCGCACACGCCACATCACTCTCTGTGGGAGGGGAGGGGGGGGCGCCCCCGAGAGGGTCGTCACGTCACGGCCTCCATCAGCACCTGAGACTGAGAGCTCCATCAGCCGCGTGACGGCGCCGCCCCACACTCCATCCACATCACCAACGCCACGCCACGCCACCACCCTCTATCCAGCAACCTTCCGTCCGCCTGGTCCATATGGAGAGAAATGCGCGCCGCCAGGGGAGCTGAGCGGTCTGGGCCGCTGAGCGACCCACACGACGAAAAAAGATAATACAAAAACGAGAAATGGCGTTGACCTACAGCGCGCCGCGAATGCGGAATTTTTCGAGGACCGTCGGATGGTAGGGCTACCCTTAGAAAAAGAACAACCGGGCAACCTCCGGGCAACTTCCGGACAGCTCTGGTTAACTTCCGGGCAACTTTACTGCATGGAACCCGAGCGAATCGGAAATCATGCGCAAAGGGGTAGCAGTAGCTCACGCTCAGGCCGCGTAGGGTCCGGAACATGCCCGGTCGTTCTTTTCCTCCTCTTGGGCAGGGGGCAGTAGGGGTATAAAGGGGGGTCAGCCGCCAGGAAGAAAAGGCGCTACAAAACCCGTGTGCGTAGGCAGCCCACCACGGTGCATTTCACCGTCGTAGCCGGACCTCAGTGTCCGGTGGATGTGCGAAAAGTGCGAGGCCAGCGACCCCACCACACTCTCACACTCACTCCAGCCCTGTGCGGTTGCGGCCCTCGACCCCACACCCGTCCCCGCCGCGCTACCTCTCCTCAGGACCTCCCGGTGGCGGCCGGGGAGCCGGGGGGCCGGGG